GTAGCAGTTGGACTGAGGGACAGACCATCTTCTCTCAGCTTCTTGCACCAGTTAGTGTGGCCCCAGCATTCACCTAACACCTCGTATGCTGTTTCTCCACACTTTCCCTTCTGTCAAAAGCATGGAATGGACCATTTCATCTGAATTTAAGCATTTCATGTCCACATTTGTGTTGTGATCCTATGACAGCCACAGCCATTGGAGCATTAAATGCTGTTGCCCACACAAGGACCTAGCAATGATGCCCAAGATGACTAATGGCACGAAAGATATACCTGAGCTAGTAGGTATGACTGAGGACCCACAGGAGATCTGAACCCTTCCAATCTAGCAGACAAAGGCCAGGCAGGATAACTAACAGCATCTCATGTGGCACACATGAGATGGCTTACAGCATCCTTGAGGCAGTTAGCAGTCAGCTGAGCCTACAGAATGAGTCAGATTACCCTAAAGGAACCTGCTAGCTCAACTGCTCTGTTCAGCCGTACACCTATATCCTGATATTTAAATGTAGGTGGTTTAATCCTGAGCTGAATCCCACACACAGCCCCTGAAGAAAGAGGACTGCAGCTCCTTCATCTCCCATTAACTTGTCACTGTTGCTCATGGGTTTGCTGAACTTGAACCAGGTCCTGCCTACATGCCTTCTCCAGCAGCGGCTGGAGACATGGAGACCATGCAGGGTACCCCAGGGAGTCTCAAATGTTACTTGATGCCAAAGCATAAGCAACCAAATCAAGTTCTAAAAATCTTGCTTATACTGAAGTCAGATGCACGTCTCCCATGTCTAATAAACATTTCTTGCAGACCAGCTAAGCAGCAAAAGAGCTACAAAAGAACTGCATCCTTATTTCAGGTCTACTGAAATCTGGCAGAGCTTACAGGCTGCGTCAGCTTATTTTGTTATGAACATACAATGCTCACTGAACCTCACGAGCTGCTGTGATAACCATCTCTGCCAGCTTGCTGAATGGATTCCTTTCAGTTCCTGCCTCTGAAGTTATGTGGCTAGAACAGAGCTTCTGCAATATACCAGTGCACCCAGAACACTGTTTTTAGCTCCAGGAGCAAGTGAGCTGTCTGAGCAGATTCATGAGCTCAGAACTGATTATCAGACTGTAGGAGCAGAAGGTCATTGTGTCAAGGCTCCTGGCTACTGCAGTGTGAACACACTACTGCCTAATCCTCTTATAAACATGTGCATTTCCATGGGGGACAATACCTCTCATGATTTAAATCAAATTGTTATTAATTGGTGCACTGCTTATTACAACAAGGTTGTTATGGCACTACAGTCTTAACTAAGCTAGATGACAGGAGAAAAGCATACAAGTCTTTCGTCTGCGGTCAATAAATCTGGGATCCCATGAAGGCTGTGTATGTCTGTCTTGAATCCAGCATTAAACAATGTACCATAAGTATTTCCAGGAATTACTGTTAAATGAGCGTGACTAGAAAGATTACTAATTTTCTGGACTATAAGCAAGAAGTACTGACATGATTTTTTTGCTTTAGAAACCTAGAGTGAAGCAATCACTGCCTGGGTTAAATCTGAGAATATTCCTCCACACATTTTTTTGCACAATCTAATTAACAGACCTAAGTGGTTAAAACCCAGAAAATATGACATGTCTTTGGGTTTTATTAGTAAGAATTTAACGAGAAAGTTATTTGTATGTAAGAGCATACACCTTCCTGTTCAATTTAGAACTGTATGTCATTTTTCCATAATACCCATTTCAAACAGCCACCATCCCTGAGCACAGGTTATGTGAGTGGCTACTGCCATCTAGGCAGCCTTTTGAGAGCAGCACCTATTTTAGAACAATTGTTTTTGCCAAGGAAAAACATTCTATTATCCATAAAGGAGGAAAAAGGAACACTTTTTTATACTACTAAAAAATGACACACCACCGCACACAAAACACAAAACCTGCCCCTCTACCAGACTGTAGTAGTCCACGTTCAGAGCAAATATTTTCTATGTGTTTATTAAGAAATAGATTATTCTGTATTTCCATACATACAACTTAAGCTCTGCACTAAATTACAAACTGCTTTTATCTATGAAAACTGCAAATACAAAGTGTAGAGTATTAAGGCTATTAATTACAAAAGCACATTTTACTACAGCAATGCTATAATTCTATCTATTTTATATGCTTTGAAATGTAGTAATAGTACATTTTTTAAAAGACAGGTATTAAAATATCTATTGATTTTAATAAATTCTAGATAAATTTTTCATCATAAAACCAGAATAGTTTCCATCAAGCACAAAAACTGTAAAATACATAATGCATTTATCTTATTTAAGAAATAAATTATATACATGGCATTTACAGGAGACTTACAGATGGCATACTTGACTAATAATGTCATTTTGATTAGAAACATTAACCAAACAGCTTCATTATCAGTTGTGGGATTCTGTAGGGAATATATGAACTGTGAACGCAGAATCTTACACAAAAGGCTAGTATGGCCTGAAAAGATTTATCATTTAGCATCCTCCATCTGTATAAGCCCTTTGAACATGGCTTTTTGAATTGAGTTCTGCTGGAGGGCAACCATCACCCCATGCTATAAACAATGAATCACACTGCAAGGGTTGCTCCTAAGGTTTGGGAAAGAGGAAGATGCAAGTTGCCTAGGAGCCCTGAGAAGCACAGTACTTAAAGACGTGGGTGCACACTCTCTGGTATCCATAATGAAGGATGTTGCCCCAAAGGCCACATTTCCCCTGGATTTCAGTGGATCTGCTCAGTTAACAGCCTCCCATCATCAGAACGGATGCCAGAGTGGCCTGGGAGGGAATACTCATTGGCATTCAGAGTGAAGTTATCCTCCTGAGCTTCATCCATGGCGTGTTTCAGCCATCACCTTGAGGGCTGCCCTGAGCAGGTTCACATACAAAAGTATTCTCCTTTCTCCCTGAAAGATCCCCCTGCATAATAATGGAAATGTGGTTATCTGGCTACTGGCACATGCCTTCCCGATCCCTCCCCTCCTTCCCACATATAAGCAGCAATACAGCATGAGATTGATTTGTAGAGAAAGCAAAGCAACCAAAACTATTATGAACTGTTGAATTCACACTTAATTTAGGAGGTGGAAAAAAGAGCAGAGCTGGTACCAAAGGAATTCAATAATAAGCTTTGAAACTACTGTGCTGGAAGAAGTTCGGCTGCCCTTTGAGCAGTCCTGGAGTGCAGGACAAGAGGATAATTTTCACGTCTTTGCTGTGTCCTTGGCTTGGCATATGGAAAAGAATGACATTATTAAAAATTAAGCAAAACTCCACTGAGCTCAGAAGCTCTCAGTCTGAAAGGCTTGACTCCTTTTTGCACTTAGGGATGTTCAGTGCCTTTGACATTAGCACAGGAAAAATAAATATTCATGTTTACAGTATTTTTGGTAATTTTTTATTTCTCTGTCCTCGCCAACAGAAAACAGTATGTGTGCTGCCTCTTCTCCCAACCACTGGCATGAATATGTCAGGGTACTGTTACCTTCTCTCGACAAATTGGCACATTTTTCACAACTGCTGAGAAGCAGACACATTCCACATCTAGAGGAAAAATAATTAAACGGAGCTATTGCAGCACAGAGGTACCAATGAAGCCTCTCACCTACAGCAACAAAGCAAAAATCTCCCTTCCCAAGAAGAAGGGAGTTTTCATTTCCCTTGCAGAAAGAAAAATCAGCAGTTGGCATTATTTTACATGAAGTCACTCAGCTGAAAGACAGCTAATCACACTGGTTAAAGGAGGTCTCCATCAGACCAGACGCAAAATCTGGTCTTGAGTCTAAGGTTTATTTTGCTGAAAACAGTGACAGTCAAACAACTTCTTTGGGTTTTCACAAAACAATAACAAAACTAAGAGACAATGTGTGCATAATATGTTTTATTGAATAAAATCCTGCTTCTAATATTTACACAGTGAGGTTTAGAGATGTAACCTAGTGAAGCATGGCAATGTGTAACATTCATACAGCATCTGGAATATCTTTAAATACATCTGAAACTACTTATTTTAGCAATCAACTGCCCATCACTGATTTCATAATTAACGAAGATTTGAACTTTCTGAAGAATAGCCAAGATGAATAATAAGAATAGTTGAGTTCAGAGAAAACAGTCTGTTATGTGAACTCCAAACCAAAAAGATCTGAGTAAAGTGTCAAGAGTTTTGAAGGCAGCTTCTGTACTTCCCCGTTGTTATTCTCATCTCTGTAAAAGAAAATGACAAAATAAACTACAAATCTTAAGGCTGAAAGTAATATCTACAACTTAAACACATGGTGCCCTCCATGGTAATCTTACTTTTTACGTTTATAATGTCATCTTAACCTCAAGATATGTGAATTGTTACAAGCTACTTATTATGTATTAAAAATTATATTAAAATTTTAAAGCTGCCAAGGTAGACGTGCAAAAATTAGAAATACTGCAACTGACATCTAGTATCAAAGCAACAATAATTACCACCATTTATGCAAAAACTTATGATGAAGTATCTGCTATTCCACTCTAGCATGTTAAGCAAAGTATTATGTGTTGGTTTTATTAAAGCTCTACTAGATATACTATCAATGTTCTATTACAGTGAAGAGGAGTCTTGTAAAAAAACTGTAGTCAGTATCTTTCCTATCTATAGGGTTTTTTTTTTTTTAAAGATAATTTTATTATTCCTTATTTTGCAGGAATTTTCAGCAAGGTTTGCATGCAAGTGTACACTTCCTACAGCCATACTAACACACTAACTCATAGCACTAGCAGGCTGTTATCTTACATTTGGACTACTCACTGCTTGTGAACAAGACATGATTCACTGGCCATTTGTATGATTTTTGCCATACAGCAGGAAAACACTATAAACCAGAAATGTTGCATCCTACTCAAGTCTCTGGAACTTGCTGATAGTAGTGAGTGACAGCACATTATAAAAGGCAGGCAGTCTAGGCTGACACATTTGGGACTCTGATGAAAAAAACCCTGATTGTTAGTCTCAGGTTAAAAAAAAAAAAAAAAAAAAGATCTTTCACAGTCTCTCATATTTTATTTCTCAAACAGGGAGAGGCATTATATTTTCCCTGTGCATCCAAATTAGTAACCAAAGTATCTGCCCAGTCCCTTCCTGTCTCCCATCACAATTTACCAGTTGAGGAAGCAAAAGCATCACTGTCATTTGCAAGTCTCTCCCAACTGGGGCACTGGTTCAGAGCAAACTGTATTGGATGTTGAAATACAACTTCAAATACAGGCCTGGAAAGAAAAATTAATTTAAATCAGCCCCCCATCATCCCCTAACATCACCTAACTTTTAAGCACCAGGATTAAACTTTCCATAAAATAGTTCCATAATGAAGCTCAGTGTGATAACTTTTTATTTTTAGAGACTAAATTTAAAATAGTAGTGGTATGTCTACATACACACACACTCTCATGGAGATAAACTGTCACCTGGCAGGGACAGCTTTAAATTTCAGAATTTGACAAGAAAACAGAATATATAAATGTGATAGGAAAAGGAAAAACAGAAAAGCACTTGGCTATTTGTCATTTCCATGCTATAGCCATCTCTCAATATATTTGTGTATCACAAGACTATATTTTATTAAATTTGTGGCTGTTTTCTATTTCTTCTTTTATATGTCTTTTTATTTTTTTTTTCTTCCCTCTTCCCCAAATAAACAGCCAGACATCATTCCATCTATCCAGGAAATGCATATCCATCCTAATCTTACTGCTTCTTTTCACTTTATCTTTTTTCCAACTACAAAATGTTATCTGGAACACAGCTGCCTACCTGGAAGCTATTTCTTTTAATAGCTAACATAGCTACAAATTTGAATAACTAAAAAGCTGCTGAAAGGTACAAATTTTGCTCTTGCCTGCCTCAGCAGTGAGGTGTACAGTATGCATTGTCAAATGGTGTCTTTGAGCAGGAAAACCATCTGTACTGACAATCTCAAGACAAGCAGTGAGGCATGTGTGAGACACTGTTAACAGAGGTTGAATAAAACCAAATGTTCACTATGATAAAAAGGCTCAGTTTAGAAATGACTGACTGTAGCATCCAGCTTGAGAACTTGCATTAGCCTCAGAGACAAAGTAGTAAGTTAATTCAAATGCCTGAGAGGAACCTTTCTGAGTATGAGGTATGTTTGTACACATAGCCAAACATAGTTCAAGGAGGGTTTTGGTTGTTTAGTTTTTAAAGATGATGGAAGATCATTTTTTCTTTTTTTTGCTAAGTGAGAAATACTTGTATGAATAAGGACACAAAGATTTTGATGCACCAATACCTGAAAGCAAATCATACTGTAACTGGTAAAAATAAGTTTGGAGTTAGCATCCTCACGCTTTAATATAGAACCTATCTCCAGTTTTGAAGAAGACTTTCAAACAGTGGTAGACCAGAAAATGCTACACAACTTGGTGTTACCCAGTAACAAGGGGAGTGAATCACACTGCTGCAGACTTCACGAAACAAAGTTGCAGGCAGCTTCTCACTCAAGCTACAGGGATTTCAGGCCATGTTAGAAAGGACAAGATGATAGGTGCAGTTGATATATTTGACAATTACCACTTGGTTTGGTTTTTCCCCACAGCCTGCCTGAAAGTGACATATGAAGCAATTTCTAGTAAGCTGCCGATTAAGAGGGGGAAAAAGGTAGCCAGCCATGTCATCAGGTTGTATCTAACAGAAATGACCTGAAACATAAGCCGAAGCAACAACTTAGTGAGCTTGGCCATTTCTGCAACTCAAAAGCCAACCCTATGTTCCACTTCACCATGGGGAAAATCTAGCTCCTCCATCTCTCCAGCCGTAGGATAAGAAATGCCCCAACTTTTATAACATCCAGAAGACTATAGCTGTGCTCAAAGCCACACAAACTGTAACACTATTTCTTAGACATTCCTGTCCCCCTACATGTGAGGGCGTTTGGAACACATTAACCTCATCAGTCTGCACTCATGGCTAGTAGCTTCACTAATAAATGTTACACTGTGTACAAAAAGAAGGAAATGTAAAGCAATTCTTCTGTTTCTCAGAAATGTAACTGCACTATCTTATGTGCAAACTTTGTAGAGCAGATGGCAGGATGGAGATCTACTGTAACTGCTGTTTCAAGCACGTAAACTAATTACCTGATATAGCAAGGAGAAAAAATATGGGAATATTCCCTGGAAATGTGCCTTACAACAAAACAAATTAAGGTTCTATCTGAGATAAACCTTTAAGCAGCTCATTCTGTAGCACCAATATGTAGTCACACTAACCAAAAGACATGGTGTTACAGGCTCCACCCTCTAGATGTTTTCTTAGACAAACAAGAAAGAATTTTCTGTGTCTTTACATTGTTTTCCAGACAGCCTCTAATAAACCTGCTCCTTTATATGGTAAATCCACATTTTCAGCTGGCAAATAACCTCCTCTGGTACTGGTGTGTTGTGCAGCCCGCAGGAGAAATATAAATATGAATGCAGATGACTTTTCCACATTTTAGTCTGTATTGTCTGTATTACCTTCACAGAAAGGTTTAGTGAGGATTTCTATTACAGAAACAGCACTGTGTGCAAATTCAATGCAATCTCAGAACCTATTTTTTTCTCCTCATACCTCCCTCACTTCACCATCCTGTGGAGGAATGAGGGTTAAATTAAGGCTGAAGCACCAATTGTCCTTGGTTTGAATGTTTCAACCTTTGTTTCCCTTTGGAAAGGAACAGATTAGAGACTAGCTAGCATGGCCCAGGAATTCTCCTCAAAGTGCAGGTAAAACCCATTCTCTCTAAGAAAGCTTCACTGACTTTATTACAGAGGTGCCAAAAAAGAAAGTCTTTCATAAATTTACTTCAACTAAGATAAAAGTCAAAGACAACTGTCAAAAAAAAAGAGAGCGTTTACCACATATTCTACTAAAAAGATCACAACATTCTTCAGCTTTAATCCTAAGGACATGCTCTGGTATGTCAATAACAGGTGATTTTGGAGAAATATTGTAAGTGGAACTACCAAAGACACTCCACCACCAGCTAGCCAGGGGAACAGAGAGTGAAATGCAAAGAGTCATCCTGAAAGTAAATATGCATACCTAGGAGAAAACCATTAAAGTACTGACAACCTCCTACCTAAATTTAATTCACAGGCTAACGTATGGGTAAAATGGGCACAAGAGGGCGCCCAAAATAGAGGGCTCACCTTGGCCGTCCCATCTTTGGTGTCAACAGCTAAAAGTCCCCTGCCTGCCTATGACGGGATCTCATTATTCCAAAGGTAAAGAGGCCCGCAGTGTTCCTCTTCTCTTTTTAGTTCTGATATGCAAGACTCATCAGGAGTCTGCCTGAAAATTAGGCTACTTGATTCACCTAATTAAACAAAGTAAAGAATGCAATGCATTGACACATTTCCTAACTATTAAATTTTGGTTGTTAAACACTAGAAGTTCTCCCACAGCGACACACAATACTAGGTCCCAGTTGGTCACTGCACACTCTAATGCTACTTAGTATTCAATTACAATGAAACAAAGACAAAAGATGTTACAGGCTATTATTAATAGTCGTGTAATAGAAATAGATATTACTTCACAGCCTTGGTGCCTGAAGGGCTCTGCCAAGAGAAATCTTCAAGCATGACCAAATTATATAAAAGATTATAAAGAAAAACTATTTTTCAAATAAGTATTAAATATAAGCCTTATAATTGTATTTGAACAGAACTGTAAGATACCACAGACATTTAATGTATTTTCAATGTTTTGTATATGTTTGCAATTCAGTGCCCATATTGGGTGTAAAATGGGCCTTATTAGTACCTTACAGGATTACAGACCACGCTGAAGAGTGAAAAATTAAAAAATTTAACACTATGGCTTGCCTATGAAATAATTGTAAGACTTCTAATACAGGTGAAAGTATATTCAATGCATTACTATTCCCTTCACCTTTCACTTTATGTTCTTTGAGTTCTCAGGATACAAGACATTTAATTTTCAGATTGATTAAGCAAGGTAATTAATTTTAAACACTGACTTCAATGGCACTACTTAAAAATATACACATGCCTTTAATACAGAAGGCCCAAAGCCATAAGAAGTAATTCTTGTTATAAATAAATAACTAAATACAAGATTAGTACTTCAGCCTCAAACCTTGCAATCACTCTGTCAGAATCCTTACAGGCAAGCTGTCAGTATAAGACAATATTTCTCACCTGTACTACTTCTCAGTAGTTAATCATCTTTCGAAGTGCATCATAGCATTTCCATTTGTCTGGGATGTAGAAAGGCTCAAAGATGTGAGGGAAAGGAGTGTCATAGCCACATACTCTTGAAATCGGAGCTTCTAAATTCAAAAAGCATTCCTCCTATTAACAGAAATACAGAATAAATGTTAGTAAGGCTATTCTTTTCAGGACTCTTGCATCACAAATTGAGGTGGAATGAACTTTGCCAGATTGACAGTCCTGGAAACTCAAACTTTCTATTTATATCACAGCATAAGTAGTCCAGACTACAACAGAGCTTCCTTTTGCCTAAAGGTCTGTATTAAAATAACAGCTTGTATTAATGTTATTTTCATTTTCGACATGTGTGCTGCATTAAATCATAGGCATGTTATATTTAGTACATCTGCTATACATCCAGACAAGTGCTGCCAAGAAGCAGATACTTTAGAAACAAAGGAGTAGGAGTTTCTTTACTGTGCCACTTCTAAACATATAGAAAAATTACATCATCTAAGAGTGTGCACTATTTATTGGGTACATGAACATTGTATTCAAACTTCTTTGAACCTTTACATTATTAAGACTCTGTCTGAGAAGCATTAAGGAGTTATGGAAATTATGAATCTAAACACAAGTGGTTTTGCATATCTGCAACCCTTGAGTCAAACCCACTCTCTACACAAAAATCCGTAACTTGTATTCTATTTGGAGATCAGATTTGGCAGTGACTGAGTGACTTTCATCACTCGACCTAGTAGGGCACAAAATATTACAAATACATCACATTAATCTGAAAGCAGCATGTGGAAATGTGTAATGCTACAAGATTTAATAACCAAATAGTGGGGTTTCAATCTTCCTACTCTCAAGTGTAAGAGTGATAGCATAGACCATGAAAATCTGTCAATCTGCAGAAATAACCTTGCCAGATTAAATCGATGCTGATGCTAACAATCAGCTCCCTTTCTCTCCATATCTTTAGCATATGCATCTGCTTTCCAGAGCAGACAAATGAAGAGACAAAACATGTTCCCTGGCCTCTCCTTTATGAACTGCAGTAACAGACTTTCTGGACAGCTTCCCCTGTCTTGGCTCATCCAAATGGAAGGTGAAGGATTATCTACCAGTCCTTTTCCACCAGGCCCACAAGGAAAAGAGTCAAAGAGCTACAGTTCTTTGCAGCAAAGTGCTAAGTACTTTCTCAGACTGATGAACTGTTTCAAATGCACGTTGCCTTGCAGTCCATGGCAGCCTTACTCTAACTTGCTGTGCTCTCTATACATCATGGTATTTGGCAGTACAGAAGTACTCATAACACACTGAGATTATAATCTTCTGCTCCAGATACTGCTTCAGTGCATTGTGAAATGGCATATTTCTGGAAGATGGATGGAATTAAAAGGTCCAAGAGGTTGTGTGATGGCATACAGTGTTATTACACTTAATAGTGAACAAATTCACCTGGAAAATTTCAGAGTCTGAATAGGTCCAAAGTAAAAATATATGCAAATAATATAAAGATTTGTTGAGCTCCATTTTCAGGCACTCCATTACTTTTCTTTGCAAAATGAAAGACTCGCATTAATACAAAATGCTGGGAAGTACAGTTTTAAATTCTTTACCTGTCCCTGAGGAAGATCACGATGTCCCAACTTGCTGGCAAGGATGTTTTCTGACACTGATCAGTGCATGTTGTGATTGCCCAATAAGGCAAACCAATAGCTTCTGGATCATCCCAAGACTGACTGCCCAAACCACTTGTGAAATTGCATTAGACTAAAACAAACAAGTATATTCTAGACCCACAACCTTCCAGTCCTGCATTGCTATTTCAGAGTACCTGACACAGTGCCACAACCTAGGAGAGACCTTTGGTTTATATCATGACCAGCTCAGGATAATGGCTCATCCCAAACAAAGCTTGGAGAGAAAGTTAATTAACTCCACTGGAAATATTTACTGCAAAATTCCCCATATATTTGGCTTTGAAACCTGTACAGCTTCCAAGTCATGTGGATTTCTTGCCTCAGTGGGGAGGGTAGAGAATGAAGCTGGGATGAGCAGTGTTGTGCTGTCAGATACCATCCAAGAATGGCAGCCTAATAAAGGTGGAAGAACTCAAGTCTGAACTACTCTGTGTGTATGTGTACAAACAAACTCTTACTATTATTTTTCTGGAGGTAAGTGTGTGTCTTTCCAGATTTTTAACTAAGGTATTGAACTGTATGTGTCAAATACTTCAGAGGCAGAAAAAAATCTCTACTTACACATTACCTGACTTAAGTCAACACAGTTTCACAAAGATTTAAACCCAAGTGGCTCTGACTAATAGTGTCAAATGCAGAATTTCACATTGTAATAGTTTATAATGGAAAAAGTAATTTTCCTAGCAAACTGATAAAATGTGTATAACGATACACTGGATAAACTGCTTACCCTTTTCAGAATACCATCATAAACTTGTAACATGGTCTGGGTTGGAAGGGACCACCAAAAATCATCTAGAATCACAGACTCAATTAAGGTTGTAAAAAACCTAAGATCATCAAGTCCAACCATCAACCTAACACTGCCACTGGTCATGATATAAAAATGACACTAAACCATGTCACAAAGTACCACGTCTACATGTTTTTTGAACACCCTCCAGGGGTGGCGACTCCAACACCCCACTGGGCAGCATGTTTCAATGCCTCACCACACTTTCAGTAAAGAAATTCTAGTCCACCTCCCCATCGTAAGGCTACTTTACAATGTATTTTTTTACCTTACTGGCCATACCTAAAGTCATAGGCAAATCCTATACACATGTATATGCTATTTTATAGAGGATTTTTACAGATGCAGGTTTGGTTCAGATGATGTGTTGGTTATGGAACTTACTGAAGTCTTTCAGTGTCACTGACCACATTAACAACAGAAATGGTGCAGACAAAAGAAGATGATTCCACCAACATTATATAATTTACAGATTTACTGACAACAATTGCAAGAATATTGCTAAAGGATAACTGCAAAGAAGAAAAGCTTTTAAGATTTTTTTTTTTTTTAGTAGAGTGGAAATAAAATCATAATCCAGTGAAGTACAAATTTATAATCCGAATAAGGTATTTGAAAAGAAGAATATGTACTTGTACTGTACAATGTAGGAGTAAAGAGAGAAGAGTCTTGATCTTGCTAAGAGCTTGGCAAACAACTTTGATATCATGGTTCTCATTCAAAACATTATAAAGCTTGTTTTATGACTTTCACCATGATCATAGTAGGACAGCTAGATTTACTCACACAATCACATTGATACTCCTGCTACATGCCAAGTATTGGGCTTTCAAAAAAAGAATAATTTACAAATCCACACATTTTACACATAAGCAGTCTCAGAAAACAAGCTTAAGGAAGTATTTTAATAGGATGGTTTAGATGGAAACCATGTCTGTCCTTTTTGTTTTTTACAAGCATGTAAGGTGTATGATAGAAGTTAATACTATTTTACCAGCCATGCTTTGGATACGTCTAATTTATGGAATAATATATTCAGTTCTGCCCTCCACAGCCAAATCAAACCGAACTTTTTCACAAAGTTACAGGATATGAAACTTCCTGTTTGACAGCATTAACTTAACTGTAATCTGACAACATGAGATAACATGCTTCATTAGATGGCATTACATTTTGAAAAATCATAGCATTAGCAAGCTTTATACCCTAATATTTTAAAAATTATCATCAGTGGACTTATCTCTAATTCATCTTTCCTTCTGAGCTTGGAGAGCACTTTATTCTAGGTGATCAGCCCATGAAACAGCCTGTCTTACATGGATTCTTGTTCACACCTGCTGCTAAAAGTCAGACTGTAGGAAAAACAAGAGACCACCTCATCCCAAATATCTTACTGCCACATCTGCTATACATATTGCTGTGCCAGATGTTTTGCACCTGTGCAGCCACACTGTAGAGAAATACTACTGAGAATATTAAATACACACCAGTCAGTTCTTTTTAACACTAATTAGCAGACATCCACTGTACAAGTCTAGCAGAACAAGTCTACTGTAGTATTTAAGAGTGATAGAAGATCTAAATTTAAATTAAACGTATTTACTCCATACTACTTGGGCATAAAAGGGCTGGTACTGGCTCAAAACACTCTTGCACAACATGGGGATGCAAGCTTACAGCGTTCAGTAAGCCCCTGCATATTTCAGAGAGACTGTTTAAACAAGTTCTTTCAAGAAAAGACCTTAGGACAAAAACTGACAAATTAAATGGTTTGAGCAGTAAAGTAGTAGCATGGTATTTCCAATTCAGCGTAAAATGTTTTAAATTTTGTTTTGAAAATCAGTATGGAAAAGTCATACTTGTTTAGCAGAATATGCACTAACTTCCAAAATTCAACTGAAGTAAAAAATTATGGGTCTGTTAGGAAAAACAATGCTTAAATTTAAAAAACTTTCAGACAAAACATTAAATCATTCTTCCTGCTTTTTAACTGCAGAGGTCAAATTATGGCCTCAGTTGTCCAATATAACCTTCACTAATTACTTTCATTTGTCTGAACTTCACACAAAGTGTCCCAGAAAATACATTACTATATTCTATATAAGCATTTAAATTGGTCACATAATTTCAACTCAATGTTTGACATTTAATACACATTTAGAAAGACTTTTCAAAACAACTTAAGAGCACAGCTCCGATTAAAAACCTGCTCTTGAAATTCATTGCAATCAGTGAAATGTATCACATATAACACTTCAAAACCATCTTATGACTTGATTTTTATTATAGATGCTAAAACCAAAGACTTGCTGGATGTTGCATGATCATATTTTAAAATCATACTCTAGTACTGGGTATACTCCCTTTATTTCCCCAAATTACAATGTTCTAGTATGCTAATATGGAAAACTTTATCCAAGTCTATTTTAGCTTTATTTAAGTGTACATTTTACTCTTATCCCAGCTTCAGATGCTCCCTGCTAAATCAGAGTTCTGAGTGTAAAACTCTTAAAAAACACCACTGAGAATAGCAGGCATTTACAGAGATATACAACTATACAAAAGGGTTAAAACAAGAAAACATCTACTATCAGGTATCACTAAAAGAAAACACTACTTATCCTTCTGCAACACATATT